CACATATATATATATATATGAAGTCAAAATATCAAAACATAATATATATATATATATACATAATCTATAGGCCAAAGAAGCCCTATGCTTCTCGCGGCATTATATAAAATCGCGGGCCAGCGCGGCCAGGCGCCCAGTGAGGCATCGAGATATCGTGCGCCTTCAGGGCCACAACAAGCATTTCTTGGCCGTGCCCAGCAACCTGCAAAAAACGGGGGAATTCGATGGATCAATGGATTGGTCAATGATAATATCGTATGTATATGGGTACAAAAAAAATGGATATATTATATGGTATATAATGAATAATGGATGATATAATGTATGGTATATAATCTATGGTATATAATGTATGGTATATCATCAGTATATAAAAATCTGTGGTATATGTATATAATGTATGGTATATATTTTCAGTATATAAACATCTTAGATCCCCATTATTTCTAATACTAAATGGATTGGTTTTGTTGGGAACTGAGCCGGAAACCAGAGATTTTCCCATGAAATATGGGGCTTTCCGGTTAACATTTTCCCTCAAACCAATCCATTCAATGGAGGATGAGCAGATGATTGGTAGACATTCCAACGGATTTGACACAGCAATAGGAGTGGCTTCTAATCTCTTTGAATATCCTTTAATGGTATGGTTCCTTGGACGCAAGTTGGTGAGATTGCACAGATGAGTCGCCAACATGGGTGATGTTTTAAGAAGGCGTAAGTCCCCCCCAAAAAGGATCAAAAAGATCCAAACGTCAAATCTAATCCCAAAATAGTGGTAAATCGCATCTTTGTCATCCTTTTTCTATCCTTTTTGGGTGGTTACTCAAGATTTCTTTCGTGAAACTTTGGCGAAATTCACGATTCACGACCGATCGACGCCGAGGTGATGCAGCCACCAAGGGCCAACCAGTCTTTGCCACACGGAAAAAGAGCGGAACGGAGATCGAATTTGAGGCCCCCTTTTTGGAGCGAAGCATAGCGAAGCAAGGAGAACATTCTGATGTTTTTTCAGATCACCTGGTGAAATGTTTTTTTTCTTAGCATTGTTTGTTGTGGTTTGTTGGATTTCTTGGTGTTTAATGTGTTTTCCGTTGGTTCTTGATGGTGTGTGATTGTTTTTTTGATTAGTTGTTGATTGTTTTTGATGGTCTTTGATGGTGATTGATTGGTGTTTGATGGTGTTTGATCGTGTTTGACGTTTTTGTATGTTTTTGTTGATTTGTTTTGATGGGTTTTCATGGTTTTTCATTGGTTTTTGATGCTTCGTGATGGTGTTTGATCCGCTTCGGAAGGGGAACTTCGTTGGTGGTTTTGGATGGTCAGAGGGGATTCCGATGGTTCCACTGGAGGTCATCATGGATTCGCCAGTCCTGAAACATCGTGGAAAAGTGTGGCTACCTCAATGGAGAAGAACTTGGGGGAAAACGATGGGAAGGGAACCTTTGCGAAGAATTTTTTTGGGGCAAAAACATGACAAACAACTCTCAAGTTTGAGGAGTTTCCCAATTTCAAAGCTCATGTTGGAAGATGTTGGAAGTCAAATGTGAAGACAAAGTCAGGTTTGATCCCTTATGATGTTTTATCCCTGTTCACATCTTTTCACATGATTTGTTGATCCTCAGCTAATGATGTCTTGCTGGGTTTTTCAGACCTGGACCCCTCAATTCACTGGCCACATGTTTGGTTTTCTGCCGATGAAATATCACATTCATTCCTGGCGTGGCACAGGTATTTCTTCAGCCGCCAGACGGCCACCATGTTGGACGCGGATGATGAGGCAGATGGTATCTTTGCCCGCTGGGCTGACTTCGGGGATTGGCAGGCGCGAGATGTTGCCGGCCTGGCCGAAAAGTGGGTGGGACTTTTCTTGAGGAAAAGTATGGAAAAGTGCTGGAAGTTGATGAATTGGACTTCACTTTGAAGTTAAGTTCGAAAATTAACCTGATGATGAGCGTCGAAAAATCAACATGACAGCTCAATGCGGCCTAAAAACGAGAGAAGAAATGAGAAGAATCACCCAAGTGGCGACTTTGACTTTCAGTTTTTGGGACATTTCAGTGTATCCATTGACCACGGTATGGTTGTTTAATCAACACTCATGATCCAACATGTACAATCAACAACAAAGCAGCGATTTCTCCCGCAAGAATGTGTTCAATCGACTACCTCCTCCCTTTTGAACGGAGGTTGATTTCCCCATTGTGTCACATCCATTTTGAACATTTAGGATATCTATTTATCTATCTATATATATATATATATTTATATTTGATATATATATATACATATTTAATATATATATATATAATATATTTAATATATATATATATACATATGTATAATATATATTTAGTGTATATATATAATATAATATATGTATATGCTTGCATACAAAAGTTACGGACTATTATTATACACACTCACATATATACATATATATATATACATACATGGGTTACATATAGCAATGAACGTTGGAATCTCTTGAGTTCAACCTTTGGAATCTGAGGCCATGACAGTGGAAAAGCCGCCAGAGATGCAGCGTCCAGTGAACTTGTCGGCCTTGCTACGTCCCCGACGCCGGGTGAAAGGCGCGGCGTCGGGCCAGGTCCAGAGGATCTGCGGATCTGGGCCCCGGTGGGATGCCCATAAAATTGATGGCTGGAGATGACGAAACACGCGATCGCGGTTTCAACCGCAGTTAGTTGGTTATTAGTTGGTTATTAAAAGATTTTATGAAGATTACTTGGCGATTTACATACCCGTAGGATCCATGGTGCTGGTATATATGCTAACATGACTGGGGTATATTGATGGGATCCATGTTACCATATATATCCATATATAGCAGCACCATGGATCCTATGGGATAGATGTAATCATGAAATGGACAACTAACAGTTTCAGAGTCAGGCTTGACCAAACAAACGACATCACCCCAGCGGTACCTTACCAGGGGTCAGTTGTTTGACCATGTTTGACTGCATTTTCTGGTTATTCAAAGTATTTTTCAATCAACCATTGATTAACCACTAGATGATTGAAAATATTCCACTAGATTTTTCATTAACCACTAGGTATTTTTTTAAAAATGAAACAACAACATTCATGAATCAAAGTAATTTAATTTCTAATGAAATAACCACCAAAACCATCAATGTCTGGTGCTGCCAGGTCCTCGTGGATCCAAAGATAGTTGGCAGCTGAGAGGTTTCTGATGATTTTGCGCTTTTCATGGGGGCAATATACAGGAGATATACTGCCTCTCTCTCTATATATATATGATATGTGAAAAACAATTAATACCCCCAAAGCATCAGCCTTTTTTTGGGTTCGCTTTTAACCATCCCCAAGTTTGCTCGGTTTATTATGTGGAGTTTCCCATATTAATTAATCTTACTATCCATATATATATATGGATATGATATATGTATATATATATGGATATGATATGTATATATATACACGGATATATACATATGTATATATATATATATACATATATATAAATATTACTACTTTAGTAGGATGTTAGTTTTCTATCTTGGGAGCTAAATTGAAATCATCCCTGGATCTAAGGTCCGGTGAGGCAGGCGGGCAATGATGCCGAAGACGCCATGGAGGCAACAGAGGATGCGACATCCAAACGTAAAGCGGATGTGCTCGATGAATGACACGCAGCTGGTGACCGTGTGCAGATTCCATAGATTTTGTGGATTTGTTGAGAGAAAAGTGATCGATCTCTGTGTTTTTTTCCGAATGTTCATGTTGTTCTTCAAAACTTGTCAAATGATGTCTGTCTCTTAAAGAAACTATAATGGATGTGCAGAATGACAGCACGGCACAGTTGCACGGTGGCGGCCGCCGATTTCTTTGGCCTTGAAGTCACCGCTCTGACTTTTCAGCCTCACCTGAGTTGGGTCACCTTTTTTGGCGAGTTGTTGTTTTTCATTATATATCTGGGTATATCATAGCGACCTCACTGCGACCTCACTGGATTAAAGGCTAGTAAGGAGAATTGTCCCAAGATGGTCTTATTTCAGGTTAGTGACATATTATAATTTGCCCAGATATGATCTATTCACGGTTATTCATGTTTCCATCAACGTGAAGCTGGAAAGCCAAACACCGCTTGAACTTTGGTGTAGCTCTGTGGCAGGGCCTGAGATCTGGGAGTTTTTCGTCAGTGAAGTCCACAACTTCTCTGGGTGTCTGGGTCCATTTGTGGGACCCGGGCCCACCCATTTTTCTGGTGCCCTGCCACAGCCGCCTCTGTTCTGCTACTGGGGCATCCTGGTGGCTGGCTGTGAAGGGGATTGTGATCCTTGGCTGACCTGGCATGGTAAGAGATTGAGAATCTGATTGAGAATCTGATTGAGAATCTGACTGAGAATCTGACTGAGAATCTGGATACCGACAATATACACAGCAGCTGCTTGTTTCTCTATTTTGAATCCCTCACAGTCCGGGGTCGTCATGTCGCGTCACATGACACGGATGCAGAAGGCTCCAAGCCGTGCTTGGTAGTGCCTTAGACATCGAGTCTCGGGAAGGAGCTCTGGCAGTTGCAGTGGGACGATGATGGGTGGCCCGGGTGGCCCCCCAATGATGTGCTTTGTAAACCTACCTGATATATCTACATATATCTACCACAAAGCCCTAGTTACCTAGTTATTGGAGTTATAAACCAACTTAATCCAACTTAGCTATCTAGGGGGTCTTCCAGTCCTCGCCTGGAATTGGGGAAATGGTTTTGTTTGAAAATATCTAAGCACCCCCAAATCATTTAATATCCAATGGTTGACAATTTACACGCACTTTCCATAATGTGTCCATCCTTGTCCCATATTTTCCCATGTATTTCCCATGTATTTTCCATGATGTTCCCATGTCCTTACAAAACTTGCCAAGTCGGCAATATCTCATGGTTTCCCATGGTTTCCATGATATGTTTCGGAGCCTTCAAACGCTACGACGTCACCGGGAAAGGCGGCGGCAGTTGCAGCAATTTTGCTCAAGGGTAGCCCCTCAAGGACGACTTCTTCAGGTACCTTGGGCATAATGAATTTTGAATCCACCATCTATAGTAAAGTTGGGTAAATGATGGTACATGGAGTATAGATGGGTATAGTTTATCATTGTTTTTTTGTTTGTTTTGCATGTTTATTAACAAACTAAGAAAAAGGAAGACGCTGTCCAATCATGAATTACAAGGGAAGAAACGCGCACGATTTTTGATTGGGGGTCTATGGGGTCTCCTCAGTACAGCTGCGTGTGGTAAGGATGCTGCCGAGAGTTTTGAGAGCTTGTGGCACTGCGGTGCCAAAGGTCACAGGCCGGACGCTGCAGAAACCGGGATGGCGTAGTGGTTGTGGTTGTTCCGCTGCAGTGATTGTAGTGTGCCAGGCTTCAAACAAAAAGCTCTGCGTCCACTTCTTTGTCCAGTGCAGCAGAGGTTCGAAATTCTGATTTTGCTTCGAGGGGCTTCCAATCAATCTATTAGCAATTTGAAAAAGCTTTGCTGACCCTGACCCTGGACCTATTTGGATCTGCTTTCAGAAGGTGCTTCTCGCTGTCTTCCGCAGCCAAAGTGGTCGCAGTCTCAGCATGTCTCATCTTAGTCCAAGAATGAATGCACTTTGGATCACTTTGGACAATCTTTGGAACAGAATTAGAAGTTTCCTAAAATGAGGATCCCCCAAATCATCTAAGCTGGTTATTATCAATAGGAAAAACATGGAAAACCCATGGAATTTGGGGGTACCCATATTTTAGGAAACCCATGGGTTTACCCATGGGTTTACTCCAGAAATTGGATCAGGCCAAAGATCTCCAAGCAGAGATTGGGCACGAGGAGGACGACTTGGATTCTGCTGAACTCCGAATCCGCGCCCGACTCAGCTGTGAATCCATCCGGCGTACGCCCTGTTTGAGGAGCAGTATCAGCAAGCCAAGGTGCAGAGGGAAGTTGAGAAGAGATCCTACCTGTACCCTCTGGTTATGTCAAAATAGCTATTGAAAATGGCCATTTATAGTTGATATACCCATTAAAAATGGTGATTTTCCACAGTTATGTTAGTTTACCAGAGGGTAACTTCAAGCCAACTCTTCAAGATTGCACAGAACAGTTCGAGGGGTGAGAAGAAAATGGGGTCAGATTCGCCCCTGAAAGAACATGTAAAAACATGGGAAATCATGGAAAATCATGAGAAATTATGGAAACACATGCTTTATCGTAGTTTACCGGTTAAGCATGTTTACTTGCATAGTTTTTTTTCATGTTTATCCGTCATGCATTTTTGGAGGCTGCAGTAGGCAAAGGAACAATGGAAATCAGGAGATCAAAAAGTTCCTCGATTCCTCCAGCTTCAAGTTCAAGGAGAAAGAGGCCTGGCAGACTGCGAATGAGGTCGATAGCTGCTTGATTCGAAGGGGCAGTGACGGGCAGTGCATGTTGCACAGGGCGATGTGAACATGCATTTGGAACGGGAAGTCGGAGACAAGCTGGTGGATGTCTCAGCTGGATCTTTCTGACTTTTTTTTAATGATGCATTATTCTACAATATTATATATGACTATGCATTATTATGCATTTGTTTTCATGTTGGTGATTGAAATTCGCTTTTGGTGATTGATGTTGTCCGTTTCATGCTGTTTCAAATGCTTTTCAGGCAGTAACTATTTGCAACTGCACAGCCGAGGTGAAAGTTGAATGGCAACTGACCAGCCCTTTTGACCCTACTGCTGATGTGGAGGGTGATCAAGAGGGTGGTGAGGAATACGTCTGCACCCAAGCATGCCATGAGTCTCTTCAAAAATCTTGATTCTAGCCTCGTGAGATTGAAGTTTTTTTCATGCGAAACAGGTTCGAACTTCATCATTTTGTACATGTTCTGTCAGGAAGCCACCGACTTCTGCATCACCATTGAAAGCAAGAGTACCTCACCTGCACCTAAATTTTCCCACAAATCCAACTGCTTCACTGCAGCGGGCGCAATGTCTGGGGCCTCCACATCATCTGAGTTTCGAGATGTCCAGTCCATCAGGAGAAATCAGTTTCCGGTGACAGGATTCCGCTTCGGAGTCACGGTAAGCAACAGTCAGGTGGTGCTGGTGTGTCCTTCTATTGCAGCACACAGACTGGAGAGGACCACCGATATGTTTGGACCTCGATATCGGACCTTGGATTTGAGTGGATGAGCCATTGATGTGGAGATTCACTGATTTGGTCTGATTTCACTTAAAAATCTTAAAATCAGCAGGGGCGATCATTGGGCGATGGGCCATTTTCCCATGGGTTTTCCAGGGGATCATTTTTGGCGCTGGATGAGGTGATTGGAAATGTGAAGTCCTTTGCAACCACAGAGGCCGAAATGGTTGATGGATGTGGATGGATATTGGCCTAAACAAGAGCCTTTTTTTGTGACCCCGAAAGATAGAAAAGTCATGTTAGAAAAGCTGGAAACTTGGAAAATATGAAGGACACATCATCTACTCCCTGGACAGATCTTTTCATATCTGGTCTATCTTATCTTTTGTTTCTCTTTGAAGGTTGTTATAGTTGATATTTGATGATATTTGATGATATTTGATGATATTTGATGATATTTGATGATATTTGATGATATTTGATGATATTTGATGATATTTGATGATATTTGATGATATACATACATTGATATACATACATACATACATACATACATACATACATACATACATACATACATACATACATACATACATACATACATACATACATACATACATACACGCACACATACATACATACATACATACATACAATTACATACAATTACATACAATTACATACAATTACATACAATACCATACAATACCATACAATACCATACAATACCATACAATACCATACAATACCATACAATACCATACAATACATACAATACATACAATACAATACAATACAATACAATACAATACAATACATACATACATAAATAATTATACATATATATATATATATTTACAAATATATACAAATATATATATATATATGCATACATGCAAAATGCGCACATGCAAACATGCATACATGCATACATGCATACGTGCATACGTGCATACATACGTACGTACGTACGTACATACATACATACATACATCATTGCATACATACATACATACATACATGCATACATACATACATACATACATAAATAATTATACATAATATATATATATATATATTTACAAATATATACAAATATATATATATACACATGCATATATGCATAATGCACACATGCATACATGCATACATGCATACGTGCATACGTGCATACATACATACGTACGTACGTACATACATACATACATACATGCATACATACATACATACATAATTATACATATACATATATATATACATATATATACATATATATATAATTATATATACATATTTATATATAATTATATATATATATATATCTATACATATACATATATATATATATTTATATATACATATATATTTATCTACATATATATATACACATACACATATATATATATACATACATATATATATAGTTATATATATATATATTCAGAGTCCGTGTGTCTGATGGGAATGATTGGAACCCATTGTTGGGAGTTCCCGTCACGTGAGAATCGAGAGATCATGTTGAGAGTTTTTGACAGGAGAAGGAAAGTGTGAGCTCTTACAACGGTGCCCTACTTACATCATTTTCGGGCCGGATGTGGGCACTTGTGGAAGCATGTGATGTTATGTTCACTGAAAATTCAAACATGTTACATCATGTTACCCTCTAATTATAATGTAACACAGCTATGGACAATTGCCCATGAATGTATGATTTAGCTATGCATTTTGTGCTGCTGTTCCTGGTGATGTTCCATAGCTACTTAGCGTCGATCTGTGAGGTCCAGAATTTGAGGATGTCGACGAAAAACTGCAGGAAAGCTTCGATGAAGTACTGGCAGAGGTTGGTAGCGGTTGATTCCTCCAATAACCATAGCGGTTTATGGCAGATATAGTTATAGGCTATGCTATTAAGGCAACTTATAACTGGCAGAGGTTGGACCATGAAGATAGGTGGCCCGGGTTCTTCATGGGGGATCCCCAAGTCACCATGCTTTCAATACTGACTCACGGTCTGATGACGATGATTTGGGACACCTGCAGATGTAAATCGAATCAGTAGACATGTAGAGATGAGGCGTCTAACCAAACTTTCATCATAATCTAGCCAAATTGCAGTTTTCTTGACAAGAAGTTTCATATAACTTTCTCAGATATAAATCAGATATAAATCTAACTTAAACATAATCTAACCTAACCATATATGACTGTCATTTATTTTTTGTTCTGATTTATATCTGAGAACTCCCTGTCTGTGCATGGCCGCCAGGTTGGTGTCAATACGGAATTGTGCGATTTCATCGACGCCATGGCATTGGACAAGGAGAGAAGATGACGCCTGGAAGACACAGACGTTGTTTTGGAAACACAGAGGTTCTATATTTGATTGATCTTGATTGTGTATGATTGTGATATTAGATATTAAAGATATTCATTAGATATTGTTTGGGTGATTGTTGTTTGAAAACGAGCCCAAGATCACCCAATATCTATGCACATGATCCCGGCTAGAGACCCATCCTTGGCCCACAGGAGCAGCGAGAATACATCCGAGACTCGCGTGAAAACGTTGCTAAGAATCCGACAAGTAATGATGGGGATGAACTGATTCAATTCGGACGTCAAACATCAGGAAATTTCCGGAATGGAGATACATATACTGTATATACTATTATAATCTCTTATATACTATAGTGTATATATATATATTTTTTTCTTGTGCTGATGTCTGTTTTTTTTTTCAGATCATAGCTATGGTCAGTGTTCAGTGTGGTTTTTTAATTCGAGTGTTGCAGCGATGCCAAGGATGGCTGAAGAATGTGTGCCTTGGAAGGGGAGGAATACCTAGAAGTGGCTATGGCAAATGATGTGTAAATCATGGTTAATAATGATCAATGATAGTTAATGATGGTTAATGATGGTAAATTATGGTTAATCATGTTTAACAAGGGCCAATCATCTGGTTGGTGGTTTGGAACATGATTTTTATGACTTTTCATCATATATGGAATAATAAGCCCAACTGACTTTCATATTTTTCAGAGGGGTAGGTATACCACCAACCAGTAGATGCTGGCTTTCAAGGGTGATGAACATCCAGACATATTTTATAAGCTATTTTGATGCGAAAACCAGGGGAATTCCCATGGGTTTTGACCCATCCTCTACGGGGAGGCTGCCGAATTCCATGGTACCGCTGGTGGGGCTGTTGTGAATCTGATGAAGCTCACTTGGACTGCGTTAACTTTGGGGTACCCAAAGTTGGATGTTTTAACAGTTTTGGGCATATGCTTCTACAAAGTCTACCCTCTGGTAATTTAACATAGCTATTGAACATGACCATAGAAATAGTGGATTTACCCATTGAAAATGGTGATTTTCCATAGCTATGCTAAATTACCAGAGGGTATTTGTTGAGGTCTGACATTTGACCCTCCAAAGAACAAATTCTGCTTTCTCCATCCCTCTTTCTTGGCCCCGGACCCCCTTCCAGGAAAGTTTCGGTGATCAACCACTCAATGATTGACTCATTTACATGGATGTATTTTATATCCCACCTCAACATATATTCTATAGCTATCTTGGCGTATCCAAAAACTGCGACGGTTTTTTAAACCGCCAAAATATGAGGAACGCGAACATGTAAGTGAATCGGAGGCCCTGGAACTGGAGACATATACCATCATATACCATCATATATCATCGTATACCATCCTGTATACAGATATGTTAATATATATATGTATATATATATATATGTAAATAGTGAATATATATATATATATACATGTTTCATAGATATATGTCATATAGCTATATATTCTTTCCTTACAGGGCCAGGCCTTTTGGATGTTGATCGCCAAGGAAATCCTTCATGGAGTGAGATGCAACCGTTGCTTCCCACGGCAGAGTAGGCTGGGCGCACTGAGGATGGCTGAGGGGTCAAGTCGTCCTACTTTTTTTTGGGGTAAATAAAAGAATAGATATCTATTTCTGGGTCTATCTAAAAATAGTTATCTATATATATAATTATTTTATAATGTAATATTTACACAATATATGATTTGATATATTGTATGTAAAAATATCTATATTCTGAATAATTATGATGTATATATTGATTATATCGATGGCAGAGCAGTCTGACTAATCTTGAATTCCCGATTTCGTTCCTGAACATTTGTAACTTAGGATTCAAGATTTCGTGTCTCGTTTACCGTCGTTCTCGTCATACTTACTTCGCACTGCTGCAAGCAGAAGGGCTTTTTTTGTGCAGTATTATCCCTGTTGGACAAGGATGCTTCCTCTACCTCATTTTCGGAATGTTTCGCCAGATGGGAGCATCTGCCAGTGGGTACTTTGGACCATCCGAATGTTCCAGAGCGATTCAGAAAACTGGCGCCAGTATTCACAAATCAGGTCTAGCTCTACAGCTGGTGCGCATGCCAGAAGCTCCCGAAGGTTTCTTGACGGAAACAAAAGGCAGTGCAGCGGCCCAGCCATGTCGTCTCTGTGTGTGTGGATGATGCAACATCCTTCACTTGCACCAATGGCATCTAAATATGTATATATTATACTTATATACAGACATAGATGTCTAAGGCTGGCAACAGTGCCATCCCCGATTTTTTCAACATCATAATATTTCACATACAGTAGTACACATTTATGTCATCTATACAAGTTTTTTAAAGAGAAGTTTCTGCAACAAATATCATTGGATGCTAGAGTTCCCTCAAGAAACATCACCTTTGTTAGCAATTTTGGCTCAAGAGTAGCTGCCAGCAAACAGGAGACAACTGTGTGCCTTGGCTTTTTAGTGCGGTAAGAACGCCAGTAGCCGGGAATCAACAAGTTGCCGAGTAGAAGACGCCAGAGAACAACAATGGAGGTTGCAATCGGTTGCAAGGCATGGCATTTTTGTTATTCTTTGTTTGCGTGTGGTAAGGATGCTGCAGAGAGTTTTGAGAGCTTGTGGCACTGCGGTGCCAAAGGTCACAGGCCGGACGCTGCAGAAACCGGGATGGCGTAGTGGTTGTGGTTGTTCCGCTGCAGTGATTGTAGTGTGCAAGGCTTCAAACAACAAGCTCTGCGTCCACTTCTTTGTCCAGTGCAGCAGAGGTTCGAAATTCTGATTTTGCTTCGAGGGGCTTCCAATCAATCTATTAGCAATTTGAAAAAGCTTTGCTGACCCTGACCCTGGACCTATTTGGATCTGCTTTCAGAAGGTGCTTCTCGCTGTCTTCCGCAGCCAAAGTGGTCGCAGTCTCAGGATCCCCCAAATCATACAAAATTGGTGAAAAGCCAAGGGGAAAAGCATGGAAAACCAATGGTTTGGGGGTACCCACATTTTAGGAAACCATTGGGTTTACCCATGGACACCCACTCCCACTAAGTTGAATCAGGCCAAAGATCTTCAAGCAGAGATTGGGCACGAGGAGGACTGCTCTCCAAGTTTCTAATCAGTCACATGGCTAGCTGGAAAATCCATGAAAATCCTCCATGTTCGATGATGTTCAATTGACCCCATTTAGTTCGGGGTTTTTGAGCTCAGCTAGTTGTTTTTGATCACCAGAGACACCAGAGGGTAGATATAGAAACTAAGAGAGGTATTTTGCATGATTCTCTGATTTTGATACAACATGATGAAATAGATATATTGTAGACACACGTTGGTCTATTGGAACAAATAGATATATTGCGAAGCATCAATAGATCATCATATATGTATATATACTGTGTATATATATATACACATTCTGCAGCTGGTCTTTGGAGCCAGCAACCCCCTGGGAATCTCATGACTTCAGGAGCAGTATCAGCAGGCCAAGGTGCAAGTGGGCGAGGGCGCAGAGTGAGTCGTTCTCGATGAGCTTTCTATCAGAGTCTCTCATTGATCATATGTCTATCATACTTTTATTTTATGTCTATTATATACCTAGAAACTAGAAACCTTGTATGATGATGTATGGATATTATATATATGTACATCATATTATGATTATCACTATATATGTACATACAGTACATATATACATCATACGAAACAAAATCATAAATCAGCTCTCACGTGCCCCAGGAGATCAAGAAGTTCCTGGAATCCTCCAACTTCAAGTTTGTTGAGACAGAGGCCGCAGGGTTTCGCAGACTTCGTGCACGCTTTGATTGCACACAGTTCTTTGGAGTGACAATGAACGGAATTTTGAGCCGAACAAAATGATACAAATGGTAGTGTGTTGAACTGCAGTTGAGCGTATACAAATGTGCAGGGCGATGTGAACATGCATTTGGAACGGGAAGTGGGAGACAAGTTGGCGGACCTCTCAGTTGGGTTTTCCTGAAGGTTTTGCTGCAAAACTAGTCACGTGTTTTGATTGAAATGCACGTTTTTTGGAGATTGATGTTGTCCCTTTTGTGCTGTTTCAAATGAGGTGAAAGTTGAATGGCAACTGACCAGCCCTTTTGACCCTACTGCTGATGTGGAGGGTGATCAAGAGGGTGGTGAGGAATACGTCTGCACCCAAGCATGCCATGAGTCTCTTCAAAAATCTTGATTCTAGCCTCGTGAGATTGAAGTTTTTTTCATGCGAAACAGATTCGAACTTGATCATTTTGTACATGTTTTGTCAGGAAGCCACCGACTTCTGCATCACCCTTGAAAGCAAGAGTACCTCGACTGCGACACACTATGACTGGTTCGGGATGATTCCACTGACCAAGCATTCTCCATTCCAAAATAACATTCAACATTTACATTCAACATTCTTCTACCCAATTCCGCCCCTTCTTTTCATTCTTTTCATTCTTTCCATTCTTTCATTATTTTCATTATTTTCATTCTGTTCATTCTGTTCATTCTTTTCATTATTTTCATTCTTTTCATTCTGTTCATTCTTTTCATTCTTTTCATTCTTTTCATTCTTTTCATTCTTTTCATTCTTTTCATTTGTTTCATTCTTTTCATTATTGTCATTCTTCTCATTATTTTCATTCTTTTCATTCTTTTAATTCTTTTTATTCTGTTCATTCTGTTCATTCTTTTCATTATTTTCATTCTTTTCATTCGTTTTATTCTTTTTATTCTGTTCATTCTTTTCATTCTTTTCATTATTTTCATTCTGTTCATTCTTTTCATTCTTTTCATTCTTTTCATTCTGTTCATTCTTTTTCATTCTTTTCATTCTTTTCATTTTTTTCATTTTTTCATTCTTATCATTCTTTTCATTATTTTCATTCTTTTCATTCTTTTCATTCTGTTCATTCTTTTCATTCTTTTCATTTTTTTCATTTTTTTTCATTCTTATCATTCTTTTCATTATTTTCATTCTTTTCATTCTGTTCATTCTGTTCATTCTGTTCATTCTTTTCATTTGTTTCATTCTTTTCATTATTTTCATTCTTCTCATTATTTTCATTCTTTTCATTCTTTTAATTCTTTTTATTCTGTTCATTCTGTTCATTCTTTCCATTATTTTCATTCTTTTCATTCGTTTTATTCTTTTCATTCTGTTCATTCTTTTCATTCTTTTCATTCTTTTCATTCTTTTCATTCTTTTCATTCTTTTCATTCGTTTCATTCTTTTCATTCTTTTGATTCTTGTGAATTTGGTGCCACCAAATCAGTGCAAACTCAGTGATTGCCAGGAAGTCATCGGGAACATCATTTACATTTGGGACTTGCCTGCATCGCCCGTTGCATTTGGGCTTTTGTGGTGCATCGGCACTATTCATTCGGGTCCACAGGGCCCTTGAGCATTACCAATCATATGGCAACGCAGAGAAAACAGAAGTGCTTGCTTTGCACGTTGCACTTGTTCATTTCCAGTTGTGTTCAACACTTCGAGCGGTTGAAACACGAAGATCACTTTCCATATCTTCACATTGGCTGCGGAGCCTACGAAGCTCCTGCTCCATACCCTGTGCTGTAGCCATGTCGCAATCTCCGAAGAGACCTACGGCATCGGGCTCAGCACCTTCTGGTAGCGAATCGCAGTATGTCAAAGACAACTTCGTGCCTCGCTTTGACAACACCTTGACCGGGTACAAGGAGTGGAGAAAGCGTGTGGTTTTGTATTCCAGACGCTTGGCGATCCAGGGCAGGGCAAAAGAAGTCGGAATGAATGTCTTAGCGATCCTAGAAGGTTCCAGCTGGACACAGTGTGAGGACATAGACTTGAAAGAACTCGAAGATGAAAACGGTTTAGATGTCCTTCTAGCACGTTTAGACAAACAGTGGCAGTATGATGACCGAGTGGAAACTAGCAACATTTTCGACACCTTTTTCTTCAAGGTTCAACGGAAGACTGGCCAAACTCTCATGGAGTATGTCACAGAGTTTCATCAAGCCTTGAGGGAAGTCTCACGTCTGAAGGTGTCTTTGCCTGATGAGATCACAGGTTGGCTGCTTCTGAGGCGTGCCGCACTCACCAAGGATCAGCAGCATCTTGTGCAAACTCAGGTCGGCAGAAACCTCACCCTGAAGAATGTCGAGCAGAGCATGTATCAGGTGTTCGGCCAGGACTACAGGCAGACCTACTTGCCCAACACCAACAAGGCCAAGGGCTTTGCGAAGGGCAAGGGCCGTCAACATATCATGCATGCTGATGATTCATATGATGATGGGAGTGAATGGCAAGAATACTATGAGACCGACGAGGTCTACTGGGATGCAGCTGGCGAGTCACCTGACCATGAAGAATACCATGATCCAAATGATGAGACGTGGGATGATACCTACTATGAGACTGAAGAGTCCTACCAGGATGAATCGCTCTTTGACATCCAAGAGTATGATGAGGCCTACACGGCCTACACCGATGCCAAGCAGCGCATACAGCAGCTTCGTCAGGCCAGAGGCTTTTATCCAGTTGTGGCTCTCATGGACAACAAGCAGATGCCTCTTGCTGCGTCAGGCGCTGGAAGTCCGAAAGGCAAGGGCAAAAAGTCAAAGAAACCCACCGAAGCTCCACCGTATGCTAAGGGTAAGGGTCCTAAGGCTAGAGCCAAGTCTTTCTTTGGCAAAGATGTTTGTTTGCGTTGTGGCAAAACTGGCCATCGAGCGGCCAACTGCACTCAACCCTCGAGCTCTTCGGCATCGGGCTCCAGCAAGAAGCGTGTCATTGATCTTGATCCCATGGTGAACATGGTCTTCCATCAGCAGTCTTCTTCACCTGGCGAGACTGATGAGTTCTTTGAGACTGAAGAGGCCTACGCACAGGGCGAAGCACTGGTGCGAGCTGGTGGCTGGATCACCAAGGATGCGGACATGTGCATCCAAGATCAGGGCGCATCTTCTTTCTTGGCTGGCAGCGAGTACATCCTGCGGTATCTCAAGTGGCTGGAGATCAAAGGGTATCCTATGGATGACATTGTCTTCAAGCGCTGTGACAAGTCTTTCAGATTTGGGGGTGACGCCGAAGGACACTCACGATGGATGGTCGAGCTCCCCGTCTTCATCTCCAACACGCCTGGGCGCATGCAATGTTTTGTCATTTTTGGGGCAACTCCAATGCTCTTGGGTCGTCCAGTGTTGGAACAGCTTGGAGCGGTGGTGGACTTTGGAACTGGGAAAATGAGGATCCTGGGCGGTCAATGGACCAACATCAAGCGTGGGAAGCAGGACGCAATGCTTCTCAAGCTGGCTGACAATGTGCAGAATATCTCCGATTTCAGAGATCCTCGGTTTGATTTGCGAGCCAAAGATGATGATCACTCCAAATCCGAGCGCCTACGAGATTTTTTGACAGATCTCCGAGCCGAAAGTCGATACGACGAGATGCAGTCCGAGGTTCAGTTCGCCGAAGATCCTGATGATGAGGTTTTCTATGAAGTTGACAGCTACATCAACGTGGAGGACGACGCCTCTGACGAGATCTTCAGCAAGGATGAAGTGGTCGAACGAGACCAATGTGCGATGACCAAGACATGGGTCTGGATGCAGGGCCAACTGACTGCAACCAATCGTCGCACAGCAGCTCTGGCGAATGAAGCTCGAGATCCTGCTCAACCCAGGAAGAAGCTCATTTGGGAGGTCTACAGTGGCACAGGTCTTCTTGGCGAAATGGCTGAACTCATGGGTGCCGAAGTCATGCGATTTGGGCTTCACAACGGCTGGGACTTTACCAAGTCATCTCATCGGCGCCAGCTCTTGCAAATGGCCGATGAACTTGAACCTGATGAGATCTACATGTCTCCAAAATGCACCTTGTGGAGCCAGATGCAAGCCATCAACATCCACAACGATGCGGATTGGCAGGACCTTCAAGAGCGACGGCATTATGATCATGAAGTTCACCTCAAATTTTGTCGAAAGCTTTACCTGCGACAAGTGCGTCGAGGAGCCCATGCCCATGTAGAACATCCCAAGGGCAGCCTGGCCTGGGAAACACCAGCCTTGAACAACCTTCCAGGCGAACGAACAGCCTTCGATCAGTGCTCCTACGGCACCTCTCTCAAGATCGACAACGAGGACTGGCTCGTGAAGAAACCGACATCAATTCACACAACGAAGCGAGCCATGTGCAAGATCATGTCACGACTTTGCACTGGCGATCATCAACATGCAAAGCTCGAAGGTGGGAATCGATGCAAGAAGACCGAGAACTACCAAGCAGAGCTTTCCTGGCACATTGCCAGGGCTCTCATGCATGACGAAGGACTGTCTGAACAGGCTTACGCAGTTCAACAAGATCAAGAGGTACAAGAGCTTACTGGCATTCTGCGGAAGCTTGGCACTCAACACAGCCACGAAGCTATCAGACTGGCCTACAAGCTCCATCGAAATCTTGGACACCCACGGAAGGAAACTCTTGTCAAGATGTTGCAGGCCAAGAAGTGCAGTCCCAAAGTCATTGCAGCGGTAGAGGCCATGGAATGTCCCTATTGCAACAAGTTCGCGGTCAAGAAACAATCAGCACCAGCACATGCAGAAAGACCCACCGAGTTCAACGAGCAACTGCAGGTTGACACCATGTGGATTGACCTCAGCTCCATTGATGGCGCTCCAAATACCACATCAACCACTTCCAAAGGCCGAAAGATTGCAGTCCTGGTGATGATTGACACCGCCACCAGGTACATGGCAGCACGAACCATCCCTGATGAGACAAGTGGTTCATTGCGAAAGGCCTTGGAGCGGGAGTGGATCAGAACTTTTGGTCCGCCGAAGCAGCTTAGTGTGGATGAGTGGTCAGGATGGGGCAGTGATGAAATGGCCCAATGGGCAGGGGAACATGCCATTGAGGTGCGCATATCTCCAGGCCAAGCCCATACAAGGACCTCTGTCGTCGAACGTCGACATCAGCTGCTGAGAAAATCCCTCTCCATATTCATGGCCGAGAACAAGCTCTACACCTTAGATGGTCTTCACCAAGCTCTCTCCTGGACAGTGCCCTGTCTCAATCAGAGCACCTTCGTCAATGGCTACACTCCAATGCAGCTAGCCCTGGGTCGACAGCCAAACTTGCCTGGACTGATCTCAGATGACCGAACTGGTCCACTTCAGCTTCAACAAACGGAGCAAGATCGACTTCGTCGAAGATTGGAGCTGAAAGCGAAGGCCCAACATGCCTGTGCTCAAGCTGAGATCGACGTGAAGCTCAGGAGGGCAATGCTGAGAAGATTCACTGGGAATGACGAAGATCTTCAACCAGGAGAGCGCTGCTTGTATTGGAGAGAAACGGGCAACCGTTTCCATACCGTCCAATGGAAGGGACCAGCAGTGGTTGTCGCCGTCCAGACAGACCCTGACACTGGCTGCATCGACACCTACTGGCTGGCACATGGCACAGTGCTTCTCCGAGCAAGCCGACAGCACGTTCGTCGACTGGTGAGCGACGATGGACTGGTCAATGGATCACAGCGTGCCGAACAAGCACTAGCTGGCCTTCGCCAACGACGAGTTGTTCGCACAGTTGACCTACGAAGGATTAATCAACACACCTTAGAAGAGTTGGAGCCCGAGATCAGCTCACCCGAAGATCAACCAGACCTTCAAGATCAACAGATCCATGAGCCAGATCAACTACACCAACAACCTGTGCAAGTACCACAACAACCTGTTCCCCTACAACAGCAGCAAGATCAACAACACCAACAACCTTCTCAAGTACCACAGGAACCTGATTCCGTGCAACCGGACATACAACCTCAACCCACAAACTCAACAGCAAATCCCCCTGTTGATCCAAGTGACCCACACCCGGATGACACACTGATGCCAACCGAGATTGAAGCACAACTTCCTCACGAAGTACCAGTGCCTCAAGACGAAGAATTTGAATCTGAGCCATCTGTGGCTGCTGGCAGTGCACCGCCTATGCACCTGCGAGATCCAGCATACATACCAGCTCAAGGAGAAACCTTCAGACAACAACGACGTCGCTTTGAACAACAAGAGACCATCTGGATGAGAAATCGTCCTCCGCCTGTTCATGACCGCCCTGAAGGCGAACAGCAACAGCGAGTCAAGCGTGCACGTCAACAAGATCAAGAACTTGAGATGCACGTTGATCTCTTTTGCGGAGGAGAAGGGCAAGAATCCACGGCATTGCCCGGAGGATGGTACTTTGACTCCAAGACACAAGAGTTCTACCTTGGCGACACGGTGGACTACTGGAGCTATGAGGATGGCTTCCTTGTCCGGAACCATGTTCTCAGCAGAACCCACACTTTCCAGGCTGAAGAATTTCCAATTCCTCAAGACCAACTTCAAACCACGACTGGCTTGACTTTGCAGCGTGGATCAAGACAGGTCTATGTCAATGACTCCGAGTCTGTTCAACTGGGACATGACCAGTGGTTTGGGAAGACACTCTATCCCCTGACCAAGGAAGCTGCTGAGAATCGAGGCCAATACTACTTGGGTGACTTTTCCCAGAAGCTTCAGAGTAACCAGACAATTCGATGCCGAGGTCATATCTGGGCAGCTCAAGCTTTCCCAAAGCGAAAGGCCGTGAAAGAATCTGCAGATCTCCGAGAGAGCAAGATGAGCTTGGAAGATCGTTTGGCCTTCGTGGAGGGCAAGAAGGCTGAGCTTGCAGCCATCTTTGAGCACAATGTCTGGGAGGTTGAACTACATCCTGAGAAAGTCGACTGGGGACGAGTTATGAAAGCTCGTTTTGTCCTCAAGTGGACCAGCGATGGAAGAGCCAAAGCACGGCTAGTGCTTCAGGGCTTTGGCGACCCAGACCTGCTTCAAGGTGAGTTGAACACCTCATCACCGACATTGGCAAGGTCGTCACGACAGTGCCTCTTGGCAATAGCAACATGCTCGATGTGGAAGCTGTTCATCTCAGACGTCTCCACTGCCTTCCTTCAGGGTGATCCTCAGACTAGAATCCTGTGGGCCAAGATTCCAAAGGATGCTTGCCAACTGATAGGAGTGCCCCCTGGCACACTCATGAGGCTTCTCAAACCCATATATGGACAAGCCGATGCTCCCAGACAATGGTTTGTCGTTGCTCGACGCAGATTGATCTCCATCGGCTATAAGCCGCATGCTTTGGATCAATGTCTCTATTTGTTGCATCATGGCCAAGATCTCATCTCGATGATTGGTCTACATGTTGATGACCTTCTAGGAGGAGGTGACGAAAACCATGAGCGATATCAAGAGGCGAAGCAACGACTGAAGGCCGAATTCACCTTCAAGCATTGGCGCGAACAAGGTGAAAATGAGACGCTGGAGTTCTGTGGATGTCATCTCACACCCAGTGAGACTGGATGGTTGCTTCATCAGAAAGAATACATCGTGAAGATGAAACCCATCACCTTAGCAAACGGCAATCAAGAAGATCGAGAACTCAGTCCAAAAGAAGTTAGCCTGTTGCGTGCGTTGCTTGGAGGTCTCCAGTGGCCTGCTACCCAAAGCGCACCCCATCTGTGCGCCAGCGTGAGTCTTCTATGCGGAGAAGTTCCTCAAGCAAGGGTGTCAACAGCCCAACAGGCCAACAAGCTCCTAAGGTTCTCCAAGAACAATGCAGACACTGGACTGAAATTCACTCAACTTGGAAAGCTCACTGATCTTTGCATGGTAGCATTGAGTGACGCGGCCTGGGGAGTGAGACGCAATTCCGAGTCCCAGGGTGGATACTTTGTTCTCCTCATGCACTCTAAGGTTCTTCAAGGACACATGGACCAGCCTTATATCATTCTTGATTGGCGCTCATTCAAACTACCACGAATCAGCAGGAGCAGTTTGAACTCTGAAGCTCAAGCGTGCTCAGCTGCCATGGATGCCTTGGAGTATCTCATGATCTTTTGGCATGGATGCATGGTGCATGATTTTGATTTGCGCTACCTGGACACTCAAGACATTGCGATGCAATCAGCACTGGTCATTGACGCAAAGGCGTTGTTCGACAGCATCAAAGCCGAAGTTCCCCAACTTCAGGGAGACAAACGCACCAAGATTGAAATCATGATTGTCAAGCAGAAGATGGACGAAATTGGCACGAAACTCCGGTGGATCAGCTCAGAGATCCAGCTTGCTGATGGTGTCACCAAGATTGCGGCGCGACAGCTCTTGGCCGACCGTATCAGAACACACCTGATTTCCCTTCAAGCTGATCAAACTTTTCAGGCAGCAAAACGAAAGACGCAAGCTGAACGACAAGCATCAGCGCGTCGCAATGCCATTGGACGCATGGTCCACAAAGGCAGCCTGGGCTACGTGGTTTTGACCAACCAGCTTGTGCCAGTTCGAGGTGAAGGTTCTTCACATGACCATTTCCTTGACATCATCTTCACATTTTTCATCATCATCTTTATTTTCCTCATTTGGCAGTTCTTTCAACGAATGACATGGTCCCTGAGGAGCTCTTTTGGCTCAACCAGGACAGTTTCCCCGCTCTTGCAGAGCACCTCGACACAGACCGAACCGGACGGTGAGATTCCAAAGATGCGCCAGCACCTGGAAAATCAACGTCATCGAATCAACATGCTTACCCAACAAGTCCATGACAAGGACGACAAGATCACAGATTTGCAGGAATGGATTGACTACTATCAAGGAGACCTGGCATCGACACCACTTTGGGTGAGCCGAGCCGGTGAAAGATTTCATGTAAGACCAGAATGTGATTCCCTTCGGCATGCCAATCCCGGTGGCATCAGAAGGCTTACACTTTGCTCACATTGCATCCGAGATTTGCATTCGAGCAGCGGTGACTGATGACTCTGGCAATTTCCCTTTCTCCACCAATGTGAATTTGGTGCCACCAAATCAGTGCAAACTCAGTGATTGCCAGGAAGTCATCGGGAACATCATTTACATTTGGGACTTGCCTGCATCGCCCGTTGCATTTGGGCTTTTGTGGTGCATCGGCACTATTCATTCGGGTCCACAGGGCCCTTGAGCATTACCAATCATATGGCAACGCAGAGAAAACAGAAGTGCTTGCTTTGCACGTTGCACTTGTTCATTTCCAGTTGTGTTCAACACTTCGAGCGGTTGAAACACGAAGATCACTTTCCATATCTTCACAATTCTTTTTATTCTGTTCATTCTGTTCATTCTTTTCATTATTTTCATTCGTTTCATTCTTTTAATTCTTTTTATTCTTTTCATTTTTTTCATTATTTTCATTATTTTCATTCTTTTCATTCGTTTTATTCTTTTTATTCTGTTCATTCTTTTCATTCTTTTCATTATTTTCATTCTTTTCATTCTTTTCATTCTTTTCATCTACATCTATCTATATCTATCTATCTATACATATATATATAGGGCGGAAGCTGGGGGTTCCCCGGAAGCCAATTGCAATTTAATTGTATGGATACGGAGAATGTTGATTTTATACTGTGTTTTACAGTGTTTTTTGCCTTCCCTTGAAAGTGTTCCATCAGTGAAAGTATCAATGTCGGCGCGGATAAACTCGGAGTTTGTCCGCGCAGAAAAATGATAAATTTACATCTTCCATGGATGGCCAAAAATGCGTTCAACATTTTTCCCATTGGAATTGCGGTTTCATACATTTTTTCAGTTTTTGTTGATAAGTACAAAATGTCATAATCCACTGGAGAACCATGGACGAAATGAACATCACATATTTTTCATCTTCGCTTTCCCAAACCTTTTTTTTGGCATGGCGATGGAACATGTTGTTTTTACACTGTGTTTTACAGTGTTTTATGTTTTTCTCTGAAATGGTTTGATCAATCGAACTTCCATTTTCATCGCGGAAGAACTTGACGTTTGTCCGTGCTGAAACAGGAAAATTTTACATCTCCCATGGACCGATGACTAAAGATGCGTGGAACATGCTAACCATTTGAAAACTGCAACTAGCAACATCTTCCAACCAGCAACATCTTCCAGGATTCATTCATCACCACGACTTCCATGACGTTTTACACCCCCCCACCCCCTTTCTGTAAACAACAACAAAACTTCAACGTAGCAACATCTTCCAACCAAGCAACATCTTCCAGGATTCAACATCATCCAACGCACTTCACATGACGTTATTACACCCCCCCCACCCCCCCCGCCCCCCCTTCCGTAAACAACAACGAAACTTGCAACGTAGCAACATCTTCCAACCAAGCAACATCTTCCAGGATTCAACATCATCCAACGCACTTCACATGACGTTATTACACCGCCCCCACCCCCCCACATCTGTATACAAGAACGACCTTTCTGGTATAGCATCAAGACTGAGGGTTCCTCGAAGCTCCGGGGAACCCCCAGCCTTGAACCTATATATATATATACATATATATATACATATATATATCTATATATATATATAAATCTATATTCTGTTAATTTTTGGCAGAAAACCAGTGGTAGCTGGTTGAAATGACCCAGTTCCGAAGTGGCCCCTCACTGAGGTGGTGCCGGTGTGTCCTTCTATTGCAGCACACAGACTGGTGAGGACCACCGATACGTGAGGACAGCTCAGATCCTAACTTCGTTCCTAACAGCACCATTGGATCATGAGTCTTTCTGACTTCTTGATGTCCCATAAGTTTTTTTGTTTCCTTTCAAGTCGATTTTGCAGCTTCCAATGATGGTGTTTTTCCAGTTTTTCCCATGGCAAAAAACCCGTGGAAAAATTCCAAGGGAAGCCCAGCTTTGGGACGTCAGCCCGAGGTGATCGGCAACGTGAAATCCTTTGCCACCGTTGAGGCGGGTATGTATCATTAGTTAAAAGGGATATAATGGGATATTAATGGGATAAATATATATATATATATATGGGTAAATTTTAGGGAAATCATCCCCTTTTATAGCCGAACTATTCATGCGAGCCAGATATATGTTTCCATATGTTTCCATATGGTTCAAAACATGTTTCATTCGCCAGTTCGATGTGTGGATGGAAAGGATATTATCGTTGAAGCATCTTGAAGCTGTTGTTTTGTTGGAGTGCAATGTTTTGATGGTTTTTTTTGAGATAGTTTGAGAGAGACTGACATGGCTGTGATGGTTGCCAGGAGAAAGAAAGTGTGAGCTCTTACAATGGTGACCTGCTTGCATTTTTTGGCTATAAGTCAAAACCCTGGCACCCTGGCACCCCTGAATTCAATACCCTGAAATAGCTGGTATAGCTGGATGGGTCCTTCAAATATTGTAGTAATAGGTTTTGATCTTTCCCCATGTGGCAACGAATCGGCCAAAGAGATCAGCATCCGAAAATGCTGCAGCGTATCAAGATCCATAGAATCCTATGGTTTTCACATCAACATGGCAGATCTTTATGGATATTCACCCACCCCATCCCTCTGGAAACATATATAAACATATTATGTATATAAACATATATACACAAATATGTACTTTTCTATGCATAGACATATACATATATATATATACAATTATATACATATATATATATATATACAATTATATATATATACATATATATATATATATACATAATTATCATAAAGGAGTATAAAACAACATACACATGTAAATCATATCATATAGATGCTTCATGATTTTGACCCATCTTCCAGATGTTTCTCGGATGTCCAGTGCGCACCAGGTCCAGAATTTGAGGACATCGATGAAAAGTTGCAGGGAAGCTTCGACGAACTACTAGCAGAGGTTGGAGTTGATTCCTCCAAGAACCAAGGTTTATGACAGATGTAGCTACAGAGAACTATATAGTTTTCATTGGGGTCACAAAGCAACTTATAATTGGAGGGGTTCACCTTGTATACACAGGGTTCTATCATCTCTGCAAATGTCTAGTCTATAAATTATAAATGGCTGTTTATCCCCCATGACCATGGTGAAAAAGAAACATCAATTGAATTTAATTTCTGATGTATTTTCCAGATTAAACATGATTAAACTACTTGAGGCGACAGAGAGCCACTGAACCTTGCGTGGGACCAAATCAGGTGGGCGTCAACGCAGAACTCTGCGATTTCATCGATGCTATGGCGTTGGATAAGGACGGCGTCGATGGTGAAGAAAGATGTGACGTATGATGCCATGCTTTGGGGGATGTACGCTATGATGTCAGAATTGCATTTAGGCTTGTAAATTCATGTGAATTCCAAATCATAAGGCTGGAAGATCCCAATATTTCCCAATGGAGGCAACAACTTTTACATCCTTACCATGCGGATAGAGTCACCCTGCAGCATGTTCCGGGCACATCCAGGAGCAACGGGAATACCTCCGTGCCTCGACGGCACATGGCCGTTGCGCTTGAAATAAATGGACGAGTCACCGGGATGTCCGTTGGGGGCCGGCATAGCTAAGGTTGGCTTCGCAACGTGCCACCTGGCAAAAAACATCTGGTTTCAGTTTTTCTGGAACAAAAATGTGTTTTTTTTTTTGTGGAGGTTGAAGCAGTTCCAACTTGGATCTGTTTTTTTTTTGCGCCCACCGGGTCATTGGATGTTCCCGGAAAACGGACTCCCTGAGAAAACACGAAGAAAAACTGACGAAACACGGGTGCCTTTCAGCTAATGTGGTGCTTCCCCAATGCCATAAACATCAACCATCCCCAAGTTCTCACATTTATCACCATTTTTTTTGGGTTGTATCAAGTATCCAAAATTGGAGGTTTGTGGCATTGGGTTTTTTCACCACATTCAACAAACATACCAAGGAAAGACATCATGGAGAAGTGAGCTGAAGATTTCCGGCGGCAGCTGTCTGAGTGAAAAAAAATTACAACGTGGCAGATCTCAGGTCCCATGGTGCTTGAAAAATAAGCCAGAGAATTTAGAGAATGTCAAAGAATGGCCTAACTGTTGGTTAATGCTTCATATAAATACACATGCATGGAGCAATATGTTGAATAGCAAAATAATATCCATAATAATTAAGAGAATTCTAATAATGCCATCATTGAAAAAAAACACCATGTCGTCAACTGCCATTGTCCATTTCCCAGTCATTTTCGCCTTCACAGCGTAGTTCGTCGGGGCATTTTTCGGTGGGAGCCATGGATGGCAACGATGCAATGAAGTTGATACTGCCCATTGCGGGTTTCGCTGTGGGCGTTTCATTGCTACTCTACTTCTGGCCCAGGCATTGGTACTGACTCCAGTGATTTTCGGGATGTTGTGGGATGTAAATGTATAAATCTTACACAATAACATCTACATCATCTACATATGTATATATATATATGTACATCATATCTACATTCATAATATTTATATAATATCTTCATCTACTGTGGGATATGTCACAATACATATTCTGTTTCGTCAGATCTTCCGATGCCACAAGTACCGTGCGATTTCCACCATGGCGAGGCCGCCCAAAGTCTTCTTGACTCGCGAGCGAAAGCGAGCACAGGTGCGGCTCGAACATGTTATGGTTGGAAAAATCCTATATGGTATGGGATATAGGTATATATGTATGGTATATATATATATATTCATATGATGTATATAATTATATATACAACATTATTATATATCATATATATAATATAGGTATAACCGACTTATCATCCAACTTATTCGTGATTTTTCAGTGGGAAGTCAATGGTTGTAGATGGTGAAAACACTGCCCCGATTTTGAGAAACAATCATTTCAAGTGAGATGCCAGATGTGGTGTTGACAGGTGGCTGATGTCTACGAGCTCTCGCATGACACGAAGCGGATTAGATTATCCTTGGGCTCACCCACAACCACCTTAGGCAGCTTGGCAACCGAAGCTGGATAGGTAAAGGATGGTAAAGGATGATAAAGATGGAGCTGAGTCAACATATTTCTGGCCGGACAGGAAGCATCTTGGTGCAGAAAAATCTCTTGAGCCATCCGAATACCTCACGGGCTTCACACCCGTGGCAGTGCCAGGCCTCCCAGTGGGCAAACATCTGGCCATTTACGCGCTGAATCCTGCCAAGTGCATATCATCGGGCCTGTGGAATGGCAAGCCGTGCCCTCGGCTGTGGAAGTCATGGCGGCATAGCGGCGTTGGGGGGATCTCTGCAGTGGGATACGTCAAAGTTAGATTGGTTAATAGATCTGGATATCGTCTATGTATCTATATACTTTTTAAACGATATTTCTATTTGTACATGATACTAGTAATCACAACATATTAGATGATACTAGATTTTAATCTAAGAATCTAATTAAGAACAATATTATTATTTATTATTTATTATATAAATAAAGATATTAGCTGTTCCCCTGCTCAGCTGCGGCCGAGGCCGGACCCTGACAAGGGCAAAGAGGAGATCGAGCGAAAGCGCCTTGCCGAGATTGCTTAATAGGGAATGAGGGAAGGGGATGATGTTTCAATGATGATCAATAGTTGTAAGAAAATGGTTGGTTCAGTATTTACTTCATTTTATTCAACATTCAATAGTATTTGATAACACTTATATAGTTAGATTCAATAATGGTTACTGAAATGTTTAATGTTTTGATAAAATCATTGGTACCCCAATTCTGACCTGTTCCCACATGGAATGGTTTCAACAATCGATGAATTGGTCGAAATTCGACGTTTGTAAAGCCATTGGTTTCATATAGACATGTTTCAGCACAGAAACTGTTCGAGTTTGGAGGCAGCTTGATGCAGCTTTTGGAGATGATAATCTAATATCATATTGATTCATTATTAGTATCATTAATTCATAATGAATATTATGTACAGCTTGATATCAGATATTAATTCATATTCGAATTTAATTCATATCTGCTTTATATCTCACTGAATTTTCGGCGTCCGAGGTATACTCCCGTGACCGGCAACGAGCAGCCAGGCTACGTAGATTTAGTGGTGCCGCGCTTAGTTTGTCCAACCGCCTGAAAAGACACGGAGAGTTATAACCGACCGGTGCCAAGATGGTCGGCCAGAAAGCTGGGCTTTTTTTAATGAAGATCTGCGTTTTTGTTGAAATTCAGCTGGCTGTTTTCTTCATCTCACTATGATTGTTGGCTGATGACCGTTTCCACAACCTATCCACCGAATCTATCCCAATCTTTCCATGATCTCTAGCTGCAATGCGGTGCCCCCGAGTTATGTTTGTTGCTTATAAGCCCATTAACTGTAGATATATTTGCCATAAAAACATCATTTTTAACCAAGTTATTGAATGTTATTGGAGTTCCAAACCAACTTAGATAACTTAGATATATTATATATCTTAGATATCATAAATCAATTCTAAATCCCATCACCATGAAGGTGGAATCCCCATCACCATGGGGCACCATGTCACCAAGATCAAGATCTACAAGCCGGGGAAGGTCACGATGCCGGACGGCAAGGAAACTCACTGGGAGGACGGCGCCGGCCTTGGAGAAAGCCTTGGACAAAGTCATGTATTTGATCGTATTAGAATATTAGAATATATTAGATATGTCATGTCTGTATACATGTAAATGTATGTACATGTATACTATAATATATATATATACATATTTATTTGTACATGTACATATGTATGTATATATATATGCATTTGTTTGTACATATGTATATGTATATGTATATGTATATGTATATGTATATGTATATGTATATGTATATGTATATGTATATGTATATGTATATGTATATGTATATGTATGTATATATATATATGCATTTGTTTGTACATATGTATGTTTATATATATACATTGAATTGTACATATTTGTTTATGGTATATGCAATTATATATATATAATGTATGTATGTGTATGTATGTATATATACATGAAGTCGTGCGTCATGCGGTTAAGCATCCGGAACAGCCATCACTTTGAGGCTTGCCCTAGTTTTAGTGGTACTTGAAAGATGTGAAACTGAGGCGGAAAGATGGGCTTGTTCTTGGATAGCCCACCTGGCAGACTTCAATGGTTGTGACGTTTCTCAGGGGTCTATGCATTTGTCTTTCAAATGTTTCTGGATTTTTTTCCATGTGAACACTTCCTTGAAGGCTTTGCCTTCACATGGTGGGGCTTGCAAACTAGGGTTGTGCACAAAGTGAAGCAAACATCTGGCCTTAGAAACCTCTGACCGGAACATGTACAATTTCATTGAACATGAACATGCCACCGGCTTCATTGAACACATCACTTCTTTCTGGCATCTTGCCGGGCCAGGCAAACAGCCAGGGGACTGGATAGACGTCATAGGCTGGTCGTTTTGTGGTCGGTGTGTTTTTTTCGGGAGCCACATGGGGCTGAAAATGGGGTGTATGTTTCAGTATACTTCCAATTTTACCAATTTTAGTAGCTAAAATGGTGATGAGTGATGAAGCAATGAAATTAGGGGTACTATATTTTCAGATAGACCCACATGTTTCATGGAAGTTTATAGGGGGGTTCTCTTCACCCCTATGAGAGGAGGTTACCATTGGGGGGTACCAACTTCCATGAAATTTCTGGGTCCTTGTTGAGAAACAATTTGACCTGTAACCCATGCCCTTAGGTTTCAGTTGGGGTACAACAAGATGTGCAATCAAATATGGTGATTCTGCCGCTGGGATGTATACCTCCCCGAAAGTATCACTGCACCTAAAAAAACAGTTCCACCTTGTGATTTTGGACAGAAATCATGAAAATCCCTTTCAGGATAGGATGCCAGATTGAGGTCCTTGTTGTTTTTTCTCTCAGAATTTTGCCACTTTTGAGTTGGTGAAAACCCCGTTGAGGCCCTCTGGGTGTGAATGAATATTTGGGCCGTGGCATCTTCAAGAAACCTGGGAGCACAGCCAGGATCTCGGTTTTCTCCAAGGGTTACGGCGAATCCTTGCCGCTGGAAATTGTCGAAGTAAATGGTGGATATTGGTGGATATTGGTGGATATCGGTGGATCATGAAGAATAAGGCCCTCTTTTAATATCAACACCTTACAAGAATTTGGTATCCCAAATAGCTCTCGAGGTTGAGGAACTACAGTGCCCAAACGTCATGTGATGTATGACGGGTGTCTCAAAATAGGGGATATTGATGGATATCAGATACCCTATTTTGTGGTTATTGAATGGGGAACATGATTTCTAAAGCATGGGAATTGGGCTTTCCGAATTTTGAGTGGATGATGTCTCGTCCTATCATGTTGAGAACGTGCAGTCTCGGAATTTCAGTAAATATGATAGCATGTGACACCTCTTTATGCAATATATACATACATACATACATACATACATACATACATACATACATACATACATACATACATACATACACACATACATACATACATACACACACAGACATACATACATACATACATACATACATAGATACATAGATACATAGATAGATACATAGATACATAGATACATACATACATACATACATACATACGACATAGATAGATAGATAGATAGATAGATACATACAGACATACATACATACATACATAGATACATAGATACATAGATACATAGATACATAGATACATACATAGATACATAGATACATAGATACATAGATACATAGATACATAGATACATACATACATAGATACATAGATACATAGATACATAGATACATAGATACATAGATACATAGATACATAGATAGATACATACATACATACATACATACACACACACAGACATACATACATACATACATACATACATACATACATACATACATACGACATAGATAGATAGATAGATAGATAGATACATAGATACATAGATACATAGATACATAGATAGATAGATAGATAGATAGATACATAGATACATACATACATACATACATAGATACATAGATACATAGATACATAGATACATACATACATACATACATAGATACATAGATACATAGATACATACATAGATACATAGATACATAGATACATAGATACATACATACATACATACGACATAGATAGATAGATAGATAGATAGATAGATACATAGATACATAGATACATAGATACATAGATAGATAGATAGATACATAGATACATACATACATACATAGATACATAGATACATAGATACATAGATACATAGATACATACATACATACATAGATACATAGATACATAGATACATAGATAGATACATACATACATACATACATACATACATACACACACACAGACATACATACATACATACATACATACATACATACATACATAGATACATAGATACATAGATACATACATACATATATATATTATTGTCTATATATATATACATACCGTATATAAAAGGCACCAAAGAAAAGCCATCGAATTCTCGGTTTCCGCACCGAGATCACCGTGAAGCACGTGGGGATGATGGCTGGTGGCACAGGCATCACTCCCATGTTGCAGGTGGTGCAGGCTGCCCTAAGGGATAGCAATGACAGCTGCAATTTCTACATGCGCCTGGGTGGCTTTTTTGCCGCGATGATCGATGACTTGCGTGGCATCAGTTGCATCAATAGGATGAACTATCTAATTTTTCAGAAGACCCCAACAAAAGAAAAGTAGGTCATCACAATTTTATAATATGCTAATATATTTTAATACAATTTTCGTAGTAGTTTTTTCTGTTCCGGGCCATACCATTTGCAGTCTTTGCTGGCAATTTAAAACCTAAACCGAATGTGGCGTGCTGTGCTTGACCCACTTGCAGCTGGTGTAGGACACATTTAAATTGACTGGAGCCAAGGATTTATGCCAACAAGACAGAGGATGACATTCTCTGCCAGAAGCCCAGAGATCAGATTTCAATATGCCAGATTGACATGGATGTTGCAAGAATTAGCCATATTTGGGGACAATTAGATTAGATATAATTAGGATGTAGGCAGCATTGGATTTTCGTGGTCTTGCTAAGCGTCAATAGAATCTTAGCATGTTGGCCTTGCAGGGAAGTGATGAGCAATGCGATGTTGTAGATACAATACCGCGTATCTTGGATAATCTTGGATATATATATATATATATACTGTCTACGATGTATGTATATATAATTATATATAATCCCTTCCCCCTATTACTAACCCCCCTAAATAATAAAAACTAGGGTCCGTCTCCAATTTTGGAAAAATTGAGGTTGGCCAATTTGACTTTTAATTGATCCCCTTTAGGAAACAATTTAAACATGAAGCTACCATTTGTGGGTTTCACCCCCTCATAATAAAAACTAGTCAACCCCGGGGTGTTTTTTATTAGGGTCCGTCTTTTAAGGTCTAAAAAAAGTATTTTATATTAATGTTTTGAATTTAATATTAGGGGAAAGCTTTGAAATCCAATTTTTGGCAATATGTTAATTAGATTTTAAAAGGAAATCGAATCGACTTTGAAGCAGGAAAAAAAAGTTCTTTATAATAAGGTTTTTCATTTGATATTAGGGGAAAGCTTCGAAATCCAATTTTCGGCAATATTTTGATTAGATTTTAAAAGGAAACCTAATCGATTTTTAAATAGAAAACTTTAGTTTTTTTATATTAAGGTTTTTAATTTGATATTAGGGGAAAGCTTCGAAATTCAATTTTTGGCAATATTTCAAATTAGATTTTAAAAGGAAATCTATATAATCGATTTTGAAATAGAGAAAAAAACAAAAATTATATTAGAGTTTTTAATTTAATATTGGGGGAAAGCTTCGAAATCCAATTTTTGGCAATATGTCAAATAAATTTTTAAAGGAAATCTACCCCCTGGTAAATTAACATAGACCTTGAAAATCACCATTTTTTAATGGACACTAGTCTTCCAACCCCTATCTGCCAGGGTCTATGTTAATTTACCAGAGGGTAATCGATTTTGAAATAGAAAATTTTCGTTTTTTATATTGGGGTTTTAATTTGATATTAGGGGAAAGCTTCGAAATCCAATTTTTGGTAATATTTTGATTAGATTTTAAAAGGACATCTAATCGATTTTGAATTAGAAAAAACACGTTTTCTTCTTGATGTTCATTGCACAGGTAGAGAAATGCTAGATGACCTTGCAAAGACAAGTCAAGGACAGGCCTCCCAAAGAATGGCATCTGCTACAGAATCTGCTACAGAATCTGCTATGGGAGTATCAATCTGTAGCGGCTTAAATCGTCACCATGCCAGGACGATTTAAACTTCACTACACCTTGGACTTCCCACCTTCCAATTGGAACCAGAAGAAGGGCTTCATCACCGCAGAAATGTGAGCCTGGCAACTTGTTTGGGGGGCAAGGCTGGTGCTAAATCCACTTGACACTTCGCTTGGTGCCAGGCTGCCATGGATTTCTTGGAGTCAGACTTGGGGTCGATGTCGTCATGAAACCCTAAGAAACCCCACGAGAAAAGGCGAGTACTTCATCTCCCTGGACTAGGACACCCAGAAGTCCCTGATTTTTCTCGGGAGATAAACTGGCTTGGTGTCCCCGCAGCTTTTTCTATCAAGATGGCATGGACGGAAGACATGCCACAAGTACATTCCTTGACTTGAGGCCTGCTTTGTGAAAAATCCTGTGATTGGACCGTGTCATGTTCCTATCAAGATGCCATTGGTATGTACCCAATTTTCAGACCCCATTTAAGATCATCCGAATTCAATGACACAGATGTTTCGAACCTTGAAATTTCAATGATACGAATTGAAGCCGCAAATGTGAAGGTGAAGGATGTAGCGAACCATCCCAATTTGTGGCTTAGCCAATGGCTTGATCATTTCCCTCGTAATCATCCCATGTGTTCAGAAAATCCACCATTTCAACAGTGATACTGTTGGGCATATGGCTGCCTGTTGGGGGTAGCCATATTTGGTGATATTTGCATGTTGCTTCATTAAACATGTCATCTAGTGATATCTAGTGTATCTATTTTTCTTCAGCAGCCACCAGGACAGATGATGTCTCAACAAGGTGCCAAATGGGTAACAAATCAGGAGCTGGATGGGATTATATATGCTACGGATCTACGGCTTGTCCAAGTGGGATGTGTGTACATATTACTGTACGTATGCATGTAATATCATGATTAATCGTGTATACTTGATATGTATGCAATTGGTTTTATGGATGATTGAAGAAGATGTCACAATCTGAATCCCTAAGTCATTGGTCTCGATGGTGGACCCTGAGATCACACGGCCACAGGTTTTTCCCATGACTGTACATGTGGAGGTTTCCTAAAAGGGGGGTACCCCTAAATCATCTATCTTAATAGGATTTTCCATTACACACCATCCATTTTGGGGTATCCCCATTTATGGAAACCTCCATATATTTGTATATTGTTAAAATGGCCGGAAGCCGAACCAAGGCGCTTCGGTTTTTTTTTAAAACTGGACACTTTATTCTCTTTGGTTTCACTTGGTTGGGGAATGGCCCATTGCTTGGTGAAAGTCCATTCGTATCCAATATCCATCCAATCATGTTGGTTGGATTTGTCTCCATTTCTGTAATACTTTCCCGCGGAATCAAACATGGCTTGCTGGAAAATTCTCTGTTTAGTTCGATGATGTTTCCAGTTCCTAGATGTGTAGGGGATTTCCCAGCTAGACATGTTCAATGTCCGGAGGGTATCACCATTATATTCAACATGAAAACCCTTTTATGATTATCAACATTTGGTCCCATTAAGTCAGAGGAAACAAGCACAATGTCTCCATTATGCTTACTAACCAATGTATATATATATATATATATTACTGTTTGAAGTGAAAACTGCAAATGGGAAACAGTTATAGTTTCCTCGGCAATATGTTTGAAATGGGGGTTTCCCCAGTAACTCAGTCATTTTTCCCCAAATCATCCAAGTCATTAGGCCATGTTAGTAGCGAAAGCCATGGTGACCTGCGGATCCACCATTTCGCAGGATTTGGCCCACCTGATGTACAGCATATTCCTTTGCCCCGGCTTGTGGCTTGCTCACATTGGGCTACACGTGAAGTTACAGGAACAATATAATAGTAATAATAATGATACTGATACTAATAACAATTCAATAATAGTATAGTACTAATATGATATAGTAAACATATAACAATATAGTATGATAATATAATGATATCATAATATAATAATATAGTAACATACTAATATAATGATATAGTAATATAATAATATAATAATATGATAATATGATAATATGATAATAGCATAATGTAATGATTTAAGAATATGACAACATATTAATATATTAGTATGGTAATACACATAGAATAAAACACACTATATATATATATATGTAATACGATATATACATATTAATTTATATATAAAGACAAGATATACCATATCATTATATGATATAGATATACATGATATGTTATTCCATATTACATATTACTTTTTTTTTGATAAAAGAACCATGCATGAACATGTATAATTATACACATCATAAATCTTATTACACATGCTGATATCATAAGTACTATATTAATGCTGTGTTTATGGATACAATGTCAACCATTTATGGAGATATCATGGAATATGAGCGTTTCAAAAGTGAGGTCTCCCAGTTGTCGGGACAGGAAAAACATCCAGTTGTCATTGGGGAAATCACTGCTGTTTCACGGTCACTTAGAGAAACCCGAGTTGCTGGGATCAAAAAACTAGGGCAACATGGCATGAAAAATCTGCAATAGCATGAGAATCTATATACAAATGATGCGAGCGATGGTTAATTAGACATATTGATTGAAGCATACTTTCAAGATCGTTTAAGACAACTGGTTTGAGGGCCGTAAACTTATCTAATATGATAGCGCGTATCGACCCAGGCGACCCATGTGCGTGGCTCATGCCCTCACAGATGGCCGACCTTTTTTTGTGTTTTTTTTTTAAATCAGTTGTTTCCACGAAAGAACTGGAAACATCATGAAACAGCTGGACACATTCTGTGGGATCAGCTCCAATCAGATCAGGTGAACTCAGAAAATCACCGATGTTTCTGGTGAAATCCACGTTGTGAAGATGACATCCCAAAGCCAACCGTTCCTCCCCGGTTACCGTGCATCCTTTTTCTTATGATTGTTCAGTGAATCCAAAAAGAAAAATGATTCAAGTCCATGTGTTTCAGTCCAAGATACATTGATATTTTTTGGTTTAGGATATGTTCGAAACGGTTTGAGTCATTAAAATCTCAATTTCTCTTTCGTGATCATGATCTAATCATTAGATTATTAGATTTTATCATTTGTTCTTGATTTTAACAAGTTTAATGATTTACATCATATGAATCATATATGGGTTTGATATTATATATAGATCTTATTTCTATTCTGCATCTCATCAATTTCTCATCTTTTCTTTGGATTGAAGTCGGATTCAGAAACTCCACACGCTTCAGAATCTCACCGTCGTTTTCAGTTCATCAACTTTTCATAATTTAACTTTCCATATATGGACTTCCATAATAACTTCATAAAAACTTCCTTACTTCCCTTCCATAAAAACGTTTTTTTGCTGAACGGTTCCTTCCCTTTCGAATCCGGGAGTGGTGACTGGACCAAGGTTGCCCCGTCTGGATCAGCGCCCGTTCTTGGAGCTCCTGAGCGAAAAAACGGGCGAACTGGAGATCGAGGGTTGTCCGAAGTTGTGGGTGCTATAGTTTATCTATGTTTGTCTATGTTTATCTATGTTTATCTATGTTTATCTATGTTTATCTATGTTTATCTGGTTTCGTAAAGGTTCATGATGGTTGATAATGGTGAAAGTAGTGAATGCATGTTGCTGAGTTAAGTATGGTTATGTATGCTTCACAATACTGGTTTTGTTATAAAGCTGGGAACACTCCCATCCCCCAGATTCAGTACCCGCGATTTTGGGGCCCCAATGTGCCAATGAATAGATCCAATGCATTCTACCATGCTTTTGTGTTGGGGTAGTTCATATGATGGGGAGAGAGGATGATCAACCTTCAAAATTCACACCCGACAAAATCTGAAGAAACTCGCACAATTCAGATTAGCAAATGGTAACACCTTAGATACCATTTGGATCCGTTTGGGGTTGTCCGAAAATGGGGTTGGGACCTCAGTGCAAATTGCCCTTGAATAAAAGGACAATCGTGATTTCCTAAAGCAGCGCATGAACATAGGGCACCCCATTTTCAAGCAAGCTATATAATATCAACTATTAGAAATGAGATATGGAACAACCACTTGGGAATTGCTTTTTTTGAGCCGAAGTTCAGACATTTTTCACACATATTGATGAAGCTTGAGTTCTTTCTTGATTTTAATCAGGATCCATGGCGGATAAACAGTTTGTTGGCCCAACTGGATCGTTTGGATCATCACTGATTCATCATCTGATGGGTTTCAGGCATCACGCCCTAGCGATTCGAAGGACGTCGAGGTGTTGGCGGTTTCGGTGAAGCTGCTACTTGAAAGCTGGAGAATTTTGAATAGGATATTGGTGTAACTAATTATTCAGGTCTATATTTTTAGCAGGAGTAAGTACTTACGTAATTTACCGTAAATCTGGCAACTACAACTATCCCGTTAGTGAGCCTTATTTCAGGCTTGTGATGATTTGGACTCAGCAAAATACTATAGTAAATGCCTATGTGAAGAATTGTTTAATCAGATCATTGGGGCTTAATATTGCCATTTGCATGGGGGAAAACGATGGTTAGCGTATTTTTTGACAAACGCATGGATGGGTAGGGGTTCGGTTTGTTGAGTTGCAATTCCTACAAGATTCACACTGGCCTCCAATTTTCATGAAAACATCCAGAAAACATCGAAACATGGCTGGCTGTAACCATCTATTTTAGGCTTCCATTGCCGTGTTATAGATTGAAGGCTAGCTCCGACAACCCTACCATCGTGGACTCAGGATAGCTCTTCATAGTCGGGTGTCGTAGCCATGGCAAGCCATGGCCGAAAACCTTCAGAAACACTTTGGAAACGGACCAGAGGATCCAGAAGTGGGAATATTCCTTGAAATTTCGCCCAAAACCAATAGGCCTCAAAAAAATCAGTCTGAAAACGGGGTATACCCAGTCGCCACAAGTCGGGTTTTAATATGTTTCAATACTCATGGTCATCCAGGACAACTGGGAGAAACCCAGATGACGTTTTAGGGAAACCTCAATCATCCTCAATCTATATGGTCAAACTTGCACATCCTTACACCATGTTAGATATACCATTGATATACTCTGGTTGGTGGTTTGGAACTTTTTTTAATTTGTCCCATCATATTGGAAATG